TTTTGTAATGATGCTAAACTCAATTGTAAAACGTAAATGTACTGACAATGTCGTCGTGTGGTTGAAGGTCACAATTATTTTTTGGAGAATTTTTAATTAGCGTTGGCTCTCAGACCAACTACAGCAACTGAACACTAATAACAACATTTTAAAATGAGTTGCCAAAGATATTAAAAATAATCAAAACAGTTATACAATCAGGTTTTGTTTTTATGAAATACTAGCTGACTCGGCAGACTTCGTAGTGCCTTAATCGATAAATAAAAGACCTAAGCTTTTGTATAAAAAAACATTAAAAAAAACAAAAGAAGTCTGTCCGACGGGGGCCACATCAAAGGAAAAACAAAATTGTTTTATTTATATAATTCCGAGCATTTTCGTATTTTTTCACCTTTTAAACCTTCTCTGGACTTCCACGAATAATTCAACACCAAAATTTGCCAAATCGGTCCAGCCGTTCTCGAGTTTTAGTGAGACTAACCAACAGCAATTCATTTTGATATATATAGAATATTAATTTAATTTTTTGAAATTTTTAAATCACATTATAATAGGTATCTAATATCGATCAATGCAATATTTTAATCATAACGATTGCTGTGCCAAATATCCTGTATTAGTACACACACGTAAAAGTGCAGTTACCTTTAGCCGAGTTTGAGAAAGATTGTGCCGTTAAACTGAAAAACAATAGCTGTAGCTGCAATAGTTGTCCCGCAACTAAGAGCAATCGATTAGCAGGCCGTGTCAACAACAATGTCAGACAGGAACGTCGTGTATCTATCCGCAAACCCATATAGGCAATGGACCAAGTTATCATCACGACTTTCTCATGCAACTTAAACACACGCAAACACGTATTTTACGTGAACGGATAGCGCTTAATCTATTGACGCAATTAAACGCTTATTTTTGTAGGTACTTATTAACTCCTGAGTTGGACAGAGATATAAACATGTAAATGAATGCTCCGTGGGAATAACGTCGGATTGTCGCGTCCGAAACGAGACAGATTTATAGCTATGTCCGTGTCCGTACGACCGGCCGGCTTGGCGCAGGAGAACGATTTGTCGCAACCTCCACGCTGCTTTGGGATGAGAATTAAACATGCATACATATAGTCCGGGCATGTCCCACTATCAATTAGTACATACGGTTAGGTACTTACCCGACCACTCCAGATACTTGGAACAGCAATAAACAACTTTATGTGATAGATAAACGAGCACATAACCTTACATACGCTCACGCACGTAACTGATGATAGAGCCAACAGTTTAAGTAGGTATCTACTTAGTCTGGCCATAAATACTGTAACAATTAAAAATAAACATAATATTACATTTGAATTTGGAATCTGTCATTTTTATATGATTGCTCATTGAGTTTTCTCATTTTGGCGCCAATACATTGTACAATATTTTGCGATATTAAAATGGAGTGGGGTGATAAAGAGAACCGAATCGCTGTGATTGCATTACACAAAGTAGGTATGGAGCCAAAAGCAATTTTTAAAACTCTCCATACGCTTGGTATTAGTAAAATGTTTGTGTACCGAGCTATTAATAGATGCGATGAGACCTCCTATGTTTGTGACAGAAAAAGATCTGGCCGTCCACGTAGTGTTTGTACGAAAAAGGTGATCAAAGCAGTAAGAGAAAGAATTCGAAGAAATCCTGTCCGAAAGCAAAATATTTTATCTCGGGAGATGAAGATAGTACCTAGAACCATGTCGCGTATTTTAAAAGATGACTTAGGACTTGCAGCCTATAAGAGATGTATTGGTCATTTCTTAGCTGATAACTGAAAAGAGAATAGGGTGGTAAAATCGAAACAACTACTGAAGCGGTACGCAAAGGGAGGTCTTAGAAAAATTTTGAGAAAACTTTTACAATTGAGCAACATTTTAAAAAACAAAATGACCGTATTTATACTCAAGGCTCTAAGGAAGCTTCCCAATTAGTCGACAGATTGCAACGTGGGCACTATCCGACTTCAGTGTTGGTTTGGTGGGGTATTAGCTATGAAGGAGTGACTGAGCCATACTTTTGTGAAAAAGGTATCAAAACATCGGCACGAGTGTATCAAGATACCATTCTTGAGAAGGTAGTGAAGCCCCTTAACAACACCATGTTCAATAATCAAGAATGGTCCTTCTAGCAAAACTCGGCGCCAGGTCATAAAGCTCGGTCTACGCAGTCTTGGTTGGAAACGAACGTTTCAGACTTCATCAGAGCTGAAGACTGGCCATCGTCTAGTCCCGATCTTAATCCGTTGGATTATGATTTATGGTCAGTTTTAGAGAGTACGGCTTGCTCTAAACGCCATGATAATTTGGAGTCCCTAAAACAATCCGTACGATTGGCAGTGAAAAATTTTCCCATGGAAAGAGTTCGTGCTTCTATTGATAACTGGCTTCAACGTTTAAATGACTGTATTGCAGCCAATGGAGACCACTTCGAAAAAGCTTTTTATACTTTAAATTGTTTTATATTTATGTATTAAACTAACACACTGTAAAAGTAATAAATGTTATTTGCAATAGTTTTTTTTTTCCTTTGTCTCAGTATTTATGACAAGACTAGGTATATATTAATACCACATATATTTTTGTTGGTAGGTTGCTACTAATTAAAATTTGAAACAAGTATTTCCTACTAGGCCATTCATAGCTATAACTAAAAAAAGAAAGTATTGCTTTATAATCTTTATATGAATATCACTGAAATTTTGGGTTTGCTATTATTAAAAGATGTTCTTTTCTCCTTTCATTTTTTAAATCGCGTGTCTGTGTGCAGCCGAGAATTCATGTAGTGTGGTGCATTTGCAAAAATCGGTAATTGTTTCAACTATATACATAAACGAAAACCTTTTAAAACATTTTATCAATTATGTTTCATATATTCGCATCGTCTGTGGCTTCTTAATAAGTTTTGATTCGAAACATAAGACGGGTACTGAGTTTCTCTGAGACTTTTTTACTGAGACTCTTAGTAGCGCCTAAAGGTCACATGGCAAGGCCAAAGATCGCGGCCTATTTTAAGGCCCCTTGAGTTTCTCGCCGGATCTTCTCAGCGGGTCGTGATTCCGATCCGGTAGTAGATTCATTCGCGAATCAGCTACTCTTGAGTTGTTAGATCTCCATTGGAAGCGCTCGGGTACCACTTTGAGAAGGGAGCACGACATGAGAAACCTCTTGTCGTAGCCGCTGGAAACTATATACCCGATCCTGTAGACCGAATGGTAGACAGTCGACGGCCGCCCGAAACACGTCATTACGGGTCCTCCCGATCCATTAACGATGCTTTTAGGTACCACAAGCACCAGTCACCGTCCTCGTCGAACCCGTCGCTTGCGAAGGGGACGAGCGAATTAACCCATAGACACAACCCACTGAGTTTTTCGCCGGATCTTCTCAGTGGGTCGCGTTTCCGATCCGGTGGTAGATTCGGCGAAGCACTGCTCTTGCTAGGGCCAGTGTTAGCAACACTCCTGTTTTAGCCCCATGAACTCACCTACACGTTAGGGTGAAGCTAAAATAGCCTCTCAAGGCTATCAGTATAGGTAGGAAAAAAAAAAGCTCGGGAAACTGTTCGCAAATCCCACCCCTCCTTGCTGAGCCCTTGCTCGCCCACCTGTCCTTATGACACTGGAAAGGCCTCCGGGCCACCAGTAATCCCTCAATCATAAAAAGATCACGGCCTTCCATCACCCAGTTGCTCTTTATCATAAGTCCATCGCGCAGACCGAGAACGTGCCATATTAACATTTTGCTCGAAATATTTAGAGGGGCGGATGAAATGCACCGCGGTCCAACGACTTTCGCACGATATTTCACATATCTATCTCAGGTTTCACACTCAGTACGACGGACGACTACTTACGAAGTTATTCGACAAAATATGGATGTTACACCAAATACTGTTTGTTACACTTAGTGTAATTTAAAAAAAAATGTTTCTATAATTGTACCGTAATTTTACAATAATACACAATAAAATTTCGATGTACATACACAGTTTGGACATAAAATTTAATTTTCAGTAGGTACCTAATAATTCTTGGCCTGACATGGCGTTTCTTACGATCGGCCAACATTTTTAGAACGGATTTGAATCTTTACAGTGGTTCCCGGGGGCTGCTACGTCCAAACCTGCCTTTTACATATCTCTAGTAGCAATAAAAGCTATTTTATTGAATATGAGTTAACGTTTACGCTATCGAGAGCGTTAAAAAACTCGCAGTAAAAACACAGACTGATCGAATTATTTAATAAAACAGCTACCGCACACCTACTTGGGCCGCTCTTGTATCAAACTTGGCATAAACTGAATGTGTTGACCGCGGGAACCCCCCTATTCTGACCGGGTTCTAACCCCGGACATCGGACATCGGGTGTAAGAGTGCAGGGGAGTCGTTTAGTGCGGCGGGACCCTAAAATTTCTTAGGCCCGCGGTCTGCTCCCAACACCTACAGATCGTCAAGTCCCACATACCCACGGTTCGGTCCCCGGTCCGAAAAAAATAATAATATTATGAAAATATATTCTTGATCAATTTATTACAATATTAAGCAAAATACCATAGTTAAGGAAGCTTTTCAAAGTATTTGTCACAAGTATCACATTAACATTGAGTACCTGTTACCATAGCTTTGCTAGCATAGGTATACTGTACAGTGTGTACAAACTTCTTAATATATATATATTTTTGTATAGACTTTTTTCTTGACAGTAGTTATATTCATTATGGTAGTGCTTTGAATTAAATTAATACTTGTGTCTGTAACTCTTTACAATCAATGAGGCTTGCATTACACGCAATTTTGAGCGCGATATACACTTGTAAAGATTTTTTTACTTTGTCTAGTCCTAATTGATTATTATCATTCTAATAACATAGCATTTGTTTGTGAAAAATCGGAAAAAATACAAAAATCGGATCTAGCAACACTGACGGCTTATCGAAAGTTCAAGGCCCTTCACTGATATCTTTGACAGAACGAGCAATCGCTCATATCAATAAACATTCAAATTATTATTTATTACTCACTACTGTTACTAACTGATAAAAATGTCAGTTAATGCAAAATGACTAAAATAGTGAAGTACCTACATATTTACATCACAAACTATATCTTGTGCGTGTCATAACTCCAATAGAGAAGTCTCGAACACCAAAGGTCTCGAGCGGATTTGACTTTTAATTAATATTTTATTTAAAAAAAAACGATGTGTGATTTGGAAATTTTAAAATTAGAATCTAGAACAATCACATCGTCCGGCATGGTCGAAGTAGGTATCGTTCATCTTTACATTATTATATAAAAGCTTATTTTTAATGTTAAAAACTAATTTTCCGTAAAATTACGTTAATTACAAAAAAGGTTTTTTGAAGCCACATTTATATCAGAAAAACCCGCGACCATAATATTTTATTATACAGCCTAATATTTTTCTGTCTACATAAGGACAATATTTTTGGCTGGTGACTTAGTGTGTATCTTTCTAATGCTACTTAATAGCTATACCCATCACTAAAAAGTTTCTAACTAACAATAAATTATTTTAATGGAGGTTAGATTTTCTTAACTCAACTGTCAGTTTTGTTATAAAATAATTTAATATTGTCAACAATGTGTTTCATAAGCCATGAACAATAGCTGGCTCTTATCTAAAACACTTTGAATTACAAGCCAAGTAGTAAATAGCTTAATGAATTAGGGCATACCCTAAATTTTTTGTTCAAATGCCTTCATTACTTGTTACTTACTTGATGTTGTGTACTTACAATATTCACTTGAGAATATTAGTTTTTTATTTTGTTGTTTAGTATTTTATAATTTTGCCACGTACCATCCGACTATGGAATGAGCTCCTCTCCATAAAACAACATTTATTAAAAAATATTATTGTTTTCAGTCATACTTAAAACAACATTCCGAGTTTCGTTCAATTAATGTTTGGAAAACCTGGTCCTCCGACAATGAAGATCATCATGTTGTATGCTATGGTAAAAAAATTCACTACCATAAGTTTATGACACTTAATAATGAAAGTATTACACAATACAAACATTTGGAAACCATGGATGAAAGGAAAAAAGCCTTGAAGAAATTAGCGAAATTATTAGATGAAAAAACTAATTTAATTTGTGAAATGGAATTCTACACAAGGAAACAGTCTGAGAATGATGTTAGAACATATTTAAACTTGATAAAACAACAGTTTGAGTTGCAAAACATAGAACACCATTCAGGGAAGATGAAACCATTTGGTTTGTATTTTTTTGTTTTACTTAGTAATCATCTTGTGCAGTGTTTCCTACAGCCCATGGACACTAACAAATTTAAATAAGTTCATTGTCATCACATTGGTGCTGTATTAGAGTAATATCATTACTTGCAAAGATAATTTTCAAACAACAAGAGATGGAATTTTATTTTATTTTTTATGCTTAACCTTTTTGGAGTTTGGTATGAATTTATATTCAAAGCTTATACTTCAGTTCAATCCTTATTTAATGTATGTGTTGAAAAAAGAGCTATCTGTACATTGATAGTTCTTCTTTAAACAAGCCTTAAATAGTATCCTCTGTGGTTCAGCTATTTCCCAGGCATTACTGACTTCCATAAGCAATAGTATTCACATACCACCAGGTAGAATGATGTTTGTTTGCTTTTGAAGATAACCAAAAAGAAACATCTACTTTCTCGAGATATAGATCTCGAGAGATTTGAAATCGTCGTGGCCTAAAGGATAAGACGTCCGGTGCATTCGTATCGAGCGATGCACTGGTGTTCGAATCTCGCAGGCGGGTATCAATTTTTCTAATGAAATACGTACTCAACAAATGTTCACGATTGACTTCCACGGTGAAGGAATAACATCGTGCAATAAAAATCAAACCCGCAAAATTATAATTTGCGTAATTACTGGTGGTAGGACCTCTTGTGAGTCCGCACGGGTAGGTACCACCGCCCCGCCTATTTCTGCCGTGAAGCAGTAATGCGTTTCGGTTTGAAGGGTGGGGCAGCCGTTGTGACTATTACTGAGACCTTAGAACTATATCTCAAGGTGTGTGGCGCATTTTACGTTGTAGATGTCTATGGGCTCCAGTAAC